ATGAAACTATGGTGCAGTACCATATTGTGTAGATGCAGCAGGGGGCAGTATTGGACCAACACAAGGCTCCACTGACTGCCATTATAATTTATTAAACATTAATATTTCAAAAACTATAAGTTTTACAGGCAGGAAAAGGCATAGCCATCATTTGGCACAGGGGTTTTACAGATATAAATTACAATGGCAGCTCTAGGACAAAGTATGCAGGAGGAGAAGCATGGCAAAGTTGAGATGACTTGGATGGGAAACGAATCACAAAAGTGTGCATTGCATTGGCAATGCACACTGAATATGTAAAATATGAAAAAGAATCAAATAAAAGACTAAGATGCTTTACACAGAACAACGTGACTCCCACAGCCCAACACAGATGTTCTTACCGAAAAACCAAAATTTTTATTTATGAATGCTTGAATGCTCTTGCAACTGAGGAAAATCAACATTTAGATTTTCAAATTGCATGAGTTTACTAACCTGCTCACTGCTTTAGACAGAATTTAGATATCATGGTTAATGCACTCATTAATTTTAGCACCTTTCCTTACAAGCCTTTAACAAATGTGTGCAGCATTTTGAAMCTGCAGCATTACTCTAAGAAGAGCAACATTTGTAATTACGGAGCAACAACAACAAAGTGTCTATACATTTGGGTAAAAAAGATTGAAGCACAACACTACAGTAATACATTTATTTTGGGTAAGATTACAGACATGAATGTACAAATATCAGCTTTAAAAGAGTCACAACTACTAACCTTAACAAGAGTTGCTGAAGGGMAATGAGCATCTTTGTCGTCAGATAAGAAAAGGCCCACTGAATCCCAGAACAGAAGCAAACCTGGTCAGGGAGTCTGACAGCAGGTAATCTCAACTTTAATGATGTCCACCAGGAGGGCCCTACCTAATTAATGACATACCATTTTATCAATCAAATGCAACAGTTTTGAGTGACAATGCAATAAAGATTTAAATAAACATTACCTTTGGATAATTCTATGATGTCCTGARAGAACAAGAAGTATTCAGGTTGAGTCCACACACAGACGTCTAGAGTCTAAATGAATGAAGCGAAGACAATGTGTGAACCATCTACTCCCCTTAGAGGTGACCTTTCCAAACAATAAATAACAAATACTACCAATAGCTTTGCTGGATCCAATTTCTCCACTTAAGTGGAGCAAGGTGCCTCACGCCTTCCTTTGAGTTCTCATGTGACTCAAAGACTGTGGACAGCTGAGAATGAGACCTTCAATGATTCAACAAGTGCTCTCTTCTGGAGCCTGGAATAGACTAATGGATAAGCAAAGGAGATGAAAATTCAAGTACAAAGGCAAGCAGGGACAGGGCCTCATGGGAGAAGATGCAACGGAAATAGTGACGACAGAGTTCTCATTCAAAATCTGAGGTGTAATGTTAGATAGTTTTACCACAACTTGGTTGAATTTTTTTCTGATCAGGATAACTTCTCTTATTTAAACTCCTAATTGCCAAAATTAATGATACTTTGGTGTTTATTTCCTTTTGTTCCCTTGTGCGTTCATGTCCGTGCTTGAACTGTTAAAGTTTCTTAGATGTGAGTTTAAAACTGAAGAAGTTAGGACAATCTTAAATCATTTAATATTAAACTACATTTATTGAATTCATTGTAGTATACCTTTAGATGCTCTTGGGTTTATCACCTGTTGCTGCTGATCAAATAAGAAAAAAAAAAAAAACAGTCCTGAGCACCTGCATCACAAGCTGTCCCCAAGCTACACTCTGAACTGCCAAGCCCTCAAAGGCAGCCAGCAGGAATTTCACAAGTTATCTTTGTGCTCAAGAATAAAGAGAAGAAAACAATGTCATGTCAACAGGAGCAAACCAAGGGCAGTCGCTGCAGGGAACTTCTGGACAGAGGCCTATAGGTCACAACAATGTATTATCTTTCAATMCATAAACCTGTTGTAGATTTCAGCTTTTTATACACAAATTTTATGAATTTATTTCTATACATCGAGAAAAAACACATTTGATGTAATTGTACAAGTTAGAAAGTCAAGGTTTTCTAGGACACACAGTTAAACTTAATTACAACAAATATTTTTTCAATTAGTGCAACTGTTAAACACGCATTTCAGTCCAAAAACTAGGAAAAAGAAAATGTATTTGCAAGCATATCTACCAACATCTTGTAAATTAAAATTAGCTTACTGCCAAGATAAAACTGTACACCTAAATGAAAAAAAAAAAGAGTGCAACATCACCTGCACAACTTACACACGTTAAATGTAGTCTTTGCCAGATCTGATAGCCATCCTGGGGAGGTAATTCAAACAATTACAGCAATAAAAAAAAGATTTTTAGAAAATGTTAATTTTAAAATAGGGTTATGAGAAACAAAATACCATATTTTATTAATTGTTTCTCCTCAAATATTGACTCTTGACTGCTGAGGTAAACTGAAAAATTTCTTTTGTTTTTGCTTATGGAGAGGTGATTATGCTAAAGCACAAGATTCAACATACATAAAATATCTCTATCCATAGTATATTTTAACTGAGGTGTTAGTTGTGTTATGCACTGTCTTTCAATAATACTTGATCCAAAATTTCAGATCCTTCCTACAAAAAGGGGAGAAGTTAAAGAAAGRACTAATATTCCATTATCAATTTATCTGGGAATGAGACTTTTAATTTTAAACAAGAACTTTTTTTATTTACATGGTAAGTGTTACTTCAGTTCTATCACTCAGTGGTGCTTGATATCAGGTACTGTCTACTGTCATATGAACTTGAGTTTAACTGCATTGTCTTTGCATTGTATCCTTTCTTTTAGCAGCAGCAGACATGYTGGAAGTGGCCAGGGGTGGATTAAGGGTGGAGACCTAACTGCGAGCCTTGGTGAGTGAYAACAAAAGGGTTTCACAACTGTGACCTTGGCCTTGTCTTGTCTCTTTGCAGACAACAGCTGCAGCTCTTTATTCTTCATCTCGGATTGTATTTTATATCCTATCCCTGGACAGGCTATTGTTGAACCGTGGATCTTGAAATGTCTGAGTTGAAGCTGTGCTTGTATGGTGGGCTTAGGTTAGGTTTGAGCACACAGATAGAGCAATTTAACTTCTTACAATAGAAACTAAGTACTCTGATGACTATATTATTTAATTTTTGGAAATGGGTGGCCAGTTACTACAACATCCTTCAAGGTTTTGCCAGTCACGGAGTTAAGCCATCATATAAAAAAGCTTTGATAAAAATTATGTCATTAAAAGTTCAATATCCTTAAAAATGTGTTTGATATGAAGAAGCTAAAACTCATTGGAAAAGATGAGAATGATTTGATTGACAGCGGTCTGTCCCTGCCCCCTACCTCCTGCCTTCCCCTTTCTTTGTCATGTCCACTCTGGTGTTTCAGTCGTTTGTTCAAGGTGAGAGCAACAAATAGCAGCAGTGGGCTCGGCCCAATTTGGACAATGCTTTTTGTGACGAACCCACTGGATGCCATTTCTCTGATATTCATACCCATATTTGGGTGACTTACAGTCTTTATTAAAGAGGAGGAAGCCTGGTGGGCACTGGATCCATCACTTCACTTCACAAGGTTGAGTGTAAAACAGTCCACTCAGGTGAGAACAAATGTCTATTATAACTGATCAGCAGATTTCTGATAAAATTACTCTGAAGTTCACTCTCCTATTGTTTTATATGTCTGTTTAATGTAGTGATTCTTAAGCAAATCATAATATAATTTCTATTTCTATTGTAAGAACTTTAACCACTCTGTCTTGTGTTTTGCTTCTAATCTAAACAGCAAGTATTCAGGTTTGGATTGAAAACAACTCAGGTAAACTCACAGCAACATTTTTACATGACTGAGCAACTCAGTTTAAGATACCAAATTCTATTTTTTCTATTCAGAGTCACATTTTAGAGACACTTTGATAGTTAAGTATTTACTACATTTACAATAAAAAAGGGTGGAGACCTAACTGTTTTTTTTAGGCTACAGTAAACACAGACAACGTTTGTTATAAATAAACATAAATACAATTTTATTACATAATAATGTTTAAGTTTTAAATAATTTGTCATTTATTTCTTAGGTCTTGTATTGACGAAAGTCATATGAGTGCAAAAATATTCATTATAAAAAAAACTCCATACCAAATACTTAATTTAATTTTTATTTGTTTTTCAAAAGTTGAATCATGGGTGATGCCGCCATGGCAGAGTTTGGGGCTGCTGCTTCTTTTCTGAGAAAATCGGACAAGGAGCGCTTAGAGGCCCAGACTCGTCCCTTTGACATGAAGAAAGAATGTTTTGTACCGGACCCTGAAGTTGAGTATGTGAAAGCATCTGTCACAACACGTGATGGCGACAAAGTCACTGTCCAGACTGAATTTGGAAAGGTATGATATCGGTTCTGTTCAAATGAAAATGAAAACTCTTGACATTATGTGTGAGATTTGTCTCTTCTTTTGTCAGACCGTCACTGTGAAGGAGTGTGATGTGCACCCTCAGAACCCRCCTAAGTTTGATAAAATTGAAGACATGGCCATGTTCACCTTCCTTCATGAGCCAGCTGTGCTGTTTAACCTCAAAGAGCGTTACGCAGCATGGATGATCTATGTGAGTTAAAGGGCGGGTTTACATTTTCTAACTGCTAAACTACAGTATGTTAGCATCTGAAAACATTTTTTCTACACCTCTCTTGTCATGGCAGACCTACTCTGGGCTGTTCTGTGTGACTGTCAACCCCTACAAGTGGCTGCCGGTCTACAACCAGGAGGTGGTCATCGCCTACAGAGGAAAGAAGAGGAGTGAAGCTCCTCCTCACATCTTCTCCATCTCTGATAATGCCTACCAGTACATGCTGGCAGGTACATCATTTACTTTGTGCTTCATCATTTACTGTGATTTTGATCAATCATTCATCACACCATTATTATTTTAATTACTTGTTTTGACAGACAGAGAAAACCAGTCAATCCTCATCACGTAAGTTATTGTGATAGAAAATCTTTTAATCAGTCATAATTCATTGATCATAGCCTAAAACTTTCGGTGTGTTCTCCACTCAGTGGAGAATCTGGAGCTGGAAAGACTGTCAACACCAAACGAGTCATTCAGTACTTTGCCAGCATTGCTGCTGTCCCCAGTGGGAAGAAAGATGCTGCTGCGGAAAAGAAGGTTTGTTCTACATGGTCTCCTAAAATCACAGAACTATAAATCCGAAGTTGCCTTTATTCTTTAAGCTTCTTTAAACCTGTGGCTCTTTAATATCAGGGCACCCTGGAGGATCAAATCATTCAGGCTAACCCTGCTCTGGAGGCCTTTGGTAATGCCAAGACCATCAGGAACGACAACTCGTCCAGATTTGTGAGTAACTGAGTTTCTAAGTGACAAAGAATATTCTCCCTATTAGAGATGAATGTTAACTCAGCTATTTTTTCAGGGTAAATTCATCAGAATTCACTTTGACAACAGAGGAAAGCTGGCMTCTGCTGACATTGAGACCTGTAAGTACAAAAAATTTTTACATCTGAACACCGACTTTTSTAAAGTGCATGAGCTAGAGCAGTGTTTATTAAAGTGGTCACAAGAGTGTGCTAGGGGTGCCTCAGGAACCTGGATGGAAGATAAGAAAAAAAATCGAATAAACATTTTAAATCATAATAAAATGAAACCATTGTTTTAAAATACATTTTATAATAATATATTGAAATGTTCTCTAAGAGGGCTTAAGAGAGTTTTGATTTATTTTGTTCTGTTCTTATCGTCAACAGTTTGTTAAAAGTTGATTTTTCAGTGGGACTATAGAGTTTAAAACATGTTAATTAATAAAATTCTTAACTAAACAAATGTAATAATTGTTGAATAGTTAAAAAAGGGGWAWGYTTCTTTACAYATTTTGTTGTATTGTTTGTGGGTTTTCAGGGGGTCCCTGASCTGAAGCTAATRTTGTATGGGGGGCCATGGCATWTACRAGTTTGGAAGCCCATGAGCTAGAGCTCTGTTCACTATTATCTCACTATTAGAGAATCAGGATACACCACCAGGCAGTGTTCCTGTTCATGGTGTGACTAGCATACACATATACAAGAAAACTGTTTTCTATTTAGCTAAAACATCAACTCAGTCTGAGCAAGTAGTATGACCCAAAAAGCCACACAAAACCTTATATATACTGTATATATGTATATATATATATATATATATATGAGGGTTTGGTAAATTCTGAATGTGGGGGCTTATATAAAACTGCCAAAATAATTACACTCACTTGTTCTTACCATTTGTGTAAAAAATGCTTACATCTTTCAAATTTGTGGTCATACCAAACATGACCATCAGCCAACAAAAGTTATTCTGTGCAGAAACACACTAAGATAACATGTTTTTTAACCCTAAAACAGACCTTCTGGAAAAATCACGAGTGACCTACCAGCTCAAAGCTGAGAGGGACTACCATATTTTCTATCAGATCTTGTCTCAAGTGAAGCCTGAACTACTTGGTAAGTGAATGAAAAACATCTAATTATTTTTTCCTAAAAACGTAAGATATTATGTAATAAATATTTTATCTACATCCAGAGATGCTGCTCATCACCAACAACCCCTATGACTACGCCTTCATCTCCCAAGGAGAGACAACTGTAGCCTCCATCAACGACTCTGAAGAGCTGCTGGCCACTGATGTGAGTTCAACCTTGAAACCAAAAACAGCAAAAAATGTTCAGTAAATCATATTCTGAAGCTAAATAGAAACAAAAATGGCACTGATTGATTTCACTTAGGATGCCTTTGATGTGCTKGGCTTCACTCAAGAAGAGAAGAACAGTATTTACAAAATGACTGGTGCCATCATGCATTTTGGTAACATGAAGTTTAAGCAGAAGCAGAGAGAGGAGCAGGCAGAGGCCGATGGAACAGAAGGTAAGAGAAGCTGAWATGTATGTGCACTCTTATTACTGTTTGTAGTAGATGTGGAGATTTAGTTCTACCTTATGTAATCAACTACAGTACTATGAACAGGTTAGTTTGAGACATATCATCATGAACTACCGTTATGTTGCAAATTACGCRTGTTTCCATCTACTGATTTGGAGCAAAAGAACCAGGCTACTCAAAGCGTAGTTTTATCAAACATCGATGTTACGCATGGCTGTAACAGAAGGTRGAGGTTGAAAACTAGCAGGGACCACACATCTCGGGACAATGGTGATAAGTTTTCAGGAATGTGTTGCTATTGGGCAAGTTGTAATTGTTCTGTCATATCAACTAGTATTGGCGATGTTACATGCTACAGTATGATGTCCAGAGACATAGAGAAAGAATGCAATTCTTATGGGAATATCCAGGATATTAATCATGTGAGGTTGGGCCTAAATGTTCATCACGTCAGAACTTATTCAGCAAATGTGTTCCCATCTCCCCTTTTGCACAATCTTTTTTTGGAAAATCCAAAAACCACTACAAGCAAGCGTAAAGAAAATACTTGCAAATTTGAGGAACTTTTTTTCAAATTTTCCATTTTTTTTATCAAACTTTTCTAATACAATACTTCAAAATGCAAAAATAAAAAAATAAAGGGTAACGGATGAAAACCAGGCTACTGTAACTGTCTCATCCTAAGTCTCTCCAACTGCAATGAAGCAAATGACTATAACTAATCGACTATTTACCGCCATCGGCTGTCAGCTATAATCGACTATTTACCACCATCGGCTGTTGCCTCAGTCTGWCACCACCATCGACAGTCGCCTCAGCCTGTTAGAAGATCACCACCGCCATCGTGATATTCTTATATTTTATATATAATTTGTTTTTACTTAGATGCTGACAAAGTCGCCTATCTAATGGGCCTGAACTCTGCTGACCTCATCAAAGGTCTTTGTCACCCAAGAGTCAAAGTAGGAAATGAGTGGGTCACCAAGGGACAAAATGTCGCTCAGGTAAAGTTATGTAGAGGACTACAGTATGAGAGAGCACTTTGGTATATTATAATGTAAAGTAAAATTTTCACAATGCTCTTACGGTAATTATTTCCCTGTTTAGGTGTACTATGCTATCGGTGCGCTGGCTAAGGCAGTGTATGAGAAAATGTTTCTGTGGATGGTGGTGAGGATCAATCAGTCATTGGACACAAAGCAGCCGCGCCAGTACTTCATTGGAGTGTTGGATATTGCTGGATTTGAGATCTTTGATGTGAGTTTAGAGAAAAGCCAGAAACTATGCAATCATTTGTTATATGATTATCATTAAATGTTGATCATTTCTGTCTTTCCAGTTCAATACCTTTGAGCAGCTGTGCATCAACTTCACCAATGAAAAACTGCAACAGTTCTTCAATCACCACATGTTTGTGCTGGAGCAGGAAGAGTACAAGAAAGAGGGAATTGAATGGGAGTTTATTGATTTTGGAATGGATCTGCAGGCCTGTATTGACCTGATTGAAAAGGTGATTTGTCAAAAATACATTGTTCTTGAGAACTTCCAAACATATTACTTCTCTCACTAAAATCTTTATTTTTTTATGAAACTATCATCAGCCTATGGGTATCATGTCCATCCTTGAAGAGGAGTGCATGTTTCCTAAAGCCACTGATGTCACCTTTAAAGCTAAGCTTTATGACAACCACCTGGGAAAATCAAACAACTTTCAGAAGCCTAGAGTTGTTAAAGGAAAAGCAGAAGCTCATTTCTCCCTGGTTCATTATGCTGGAACTGTTGATTATAATATCAACAACTGGCTGGTGAAAAACAAGGATCCTCTGAATGAGACTGTTGTTGGTCTKTTCCAGAAGTCAACAGTAAAGCTTTTATCTTTGCTTTTTGTTGGGTATGCAGGAGCTGACTCAGGTATGTKAACATTTGCATAACATGTAAAACATAAATAAGAGCCACAACTTTACTGTTATAATTTAACAGTGTCTAAAGTTTGATGTTTTGACTCTTTGTAATGATAAATGTTCTCTTATTATTTAGCTCAGGATTCTGGTGGAAAGAAAGGTGGTGGCAAAAAGAAAGGTTCATCTTTCCAAACTGTATCTGCCCTGCACAGGGTACGATTGTTATGTACATTTCAATTCAATCATTAACTGTTTGATTGATTAATTATCTTCCTGGAGCATAATTGTAATAATACCAGCAATGATATTGYGTCATTTGTGGTATATTTTTAGGAGAACCTGAACAAGCTGATGACCAACTTGAGGTCRACTCACCCTCACTTTGTGCGCTGCATCATCCCCAATGAGACTAAGACTCCTGGGGCCATGGAGAACCCTCTGGTGATGCACCAGCTGCGCTGTAAYGGTGTGCTGGAAGGCATCAGGATCTGCAGGAAGGGCTTCCCCAACAGGATCCTCTATGGAGACTTCAAGCAGAGGTTTGTCCTTAATGAACAATCATGTAATGAAATACAAAAATTACAACAAAAAAGCTTTGATATACTTCCTTCAAAGGTATCGTATTCTGAACCCCAATGCAATTCCTGAGGGCCAATTCATTGACAACAAGAAGGCTGCTGAAAAACTGTTAGGTTCACTGGATATAGACCACAACCAATACAAACTAGGACACACTAAGGTAGTCCATCTATTTYCATAGAGAATGAAGTTTGGACAATGTATGAAAATGACTAAGTATTTTGTGTTTACTAATAAAAACAGGTGTTCTTCAAGGCTGGACTTCTGGGTCAGCTTGAAGAGATGCGAGATGATCGATTAGCACTTATCATCACTGGTATCCAAGCTCGTTCACGAGGTCTTTTGGCAAGAGTTGAATTCCAGAAGATTGTTGAGCGAAGGTAAATAAAGAAATAACTCCAACAGCAGAAGGTGGWTGTTAAATTAGCCAGATGAGCAGCTTGGAAGAGCTGCTTGTGGATTTGCCTCTTACATTCATGTCTTGTTTCCATCTCTGCCCCGCGGTTAGCAAAAAAGGTTTTTCCTCCTCTGACTGTCTTCGGTGTGAAAGAAATGCCTGCTGAGCTGTGTGATGTACAGCAGGAGAACAGAGGGAGTAATTTATTTGATTTGATTGATTGATTTAACAGGAAAAATTACTAAAAATCAAGCCTGACTCAGTAAAATTGCTGTTTTACAGCAGGTTCCTGTTCTGCAGCACATAAAACACTCAGAAATACAGCATCACAATCACATCATTATACACCATAGACACAAAGACAAACAAGCATACCAAATTTCAGGAAGGCAGCATTTGCAAAATAAGACGTCTAAATATGAGCACAATKTTTGGATTGTAACCTCATTAATTTAAAAAATGCCACAGAAGCCCAAGGCCAACYCAGCTATCAAGAATATAATTTTGTCCCAAACCCGGCCCAAATTCAGGTTGTGCTCGAGCTATAAATCTAATCTCTAATAGTAATCTAGCTCAAGTTCACAAAATGCATCTTTACTGTACACAGAGATGCTCTACTTGTGATCCAGTGGAACATCCGAGCGTTCATGGGAGTCAAGAATTGGCCCTGGATGAAGATGTTCTTCAAAATCAAACCA